AATTTCGGCGGATGAACAGGAGTACGTGATGGCGCAAAGGAATCAAACCTTCTCACCTCAAGCAGAAACCGCTGCTGTTTCAACTGTGGGCCAGGGAAGGCCAAAAATACCACATCATGCATTTAAAACTTTTTGCGAGGATAAAGACGAAATAGATGGATTCTTGCAAGATTTTGAAAGATTGTGTGACTTGCATGATGTAGAGCAAGCTATGTGGGTACCTTTGTTGGCAGGCAAACTGTCTGAGCGTGCAGCAGACGCCTACCGGGCTGTACCCAGAGAGGACAGCAAGAATTATGACAAGGTAAAGCAGGCGCTATTAGAAAGGTATGCCATTACCCCAGAGGCATACCGGCGCAAGTTCCGAGAATTGAAAAAAGGGGACAAAGACTCACATGCGGAGTGGGCACACAAGCTTGACCAAGCCTCACAAGGCTGGATACAAGCCAGCAGAGCTACCACCATGGAAGAGTTACGCCAGATGTTGCTACTGGAGCAGTTTTGTAATGGCCTGGCAACAGAGGCTCAAGAATGGGTGAATGACCGAAATCCTCACACCCTAACCGAAGCGGCACGATTGGCCGACCAACATTATGATGCTAGGAGGCATCATAAAAATAATAACCGAGGGTATGCAAAACCCAACCCGCAACCGTTTCCAGTTATTGCTCCTGCCCCAGCGACAGCACCATCCAGACCAGCACTTGTGGGACAACCTCCCCACTCCCGTTATAATGGCAGGTCCAACATCCAGTGCCATGCCTGTAAGCAATGGGGGCACATGGCCCGGGAGTGCACCCAAAACCAGAGCCGCAAGAACTGGAATCAGCTCCGGCAGAATATGGCCCCGCGGGCAGCTGCTCATTATTATCATGCAGAGCCAACTTTGCCAGGAGTGCCGCTTGAGTCGGCTGATGAACCCTTGGGCGTTTTGCACGATGTAATGTCCATCCATGCTACTGACAACCGACAACCACATTGCCAGACCGTGACTCTGGAAGGGAAAGAGGTACAGGGGCTACATGATTCCGGCGCTACTTTAACTTTGGTTGCCCCGCATTTGGTGTCAGGATCAGCACATACCGGGGGATCGGTAGCAGTCCGGGTAGCAGGGGGTGCCATGTACCGGCTACCAACTGCCAAGGTACATCTGAATTGGGGTGCGGGGGAAGGTATGGTGGAGGTGGGGCTGATGCACAAGTTACCAGCTGATGTTGTTTTGGGGAATGACCTGGGGCAAATGACTTCTGCTTTTCTGCCCCAAAGTCCTCGCCATGAGGCATATCCAGTGACCACCCGTCAGCAGGCTCGCACCACGGCTTCATCTTCCACACACTCTGAGGCTCAGGTAAGAGACAATGTAACCCGTGTTTCCTGGGATACCCCGACTGACTTTGAGGCAGAGGTTAAAAACGATCCCACGTTGAAAATTTATAAGGATAAGGCGACAGCTGGTCAGACAGGTTTAGAGGGAGAACAGTATGTATGGGAGAAAAATCTGTTATATCGTGTTGCTGAGCGGGTGGTAGGGGGGTCTGTACATGTGACTAATAAGCAGCTTATAGTGCCCCAGAAATACCGGCAGGAACTGCTTAGAATTGCCCACGATATTCCGCTGTCTGGGCATTTAGGGATGACAAGAACGAGGTACAGATTGACACATGCATTTTTCTGGCCAGGTATATCTAGAGATGTGAGACAGTATTGTCAGACATGTGACATTTGTCAGAGAGTGGGAAAAAGGGGTGACCGCCACAAAGCGAAATTGTGCCCCCTTCCCATTATTGAAGAACCCTTTAGCAGAGTAGCAGTGGATATAGTAGGACCACTGTCCAAGCCTAGCCCTTCCGGCAAGCGGTATATTCTGACCATTGTAGATTATGCCACCCGGTACCCGGAGGCTATAGCCCTTTCCAATATACAAGCAGAAACGGTAGCCGAAGCTATGATGAAGATATTTTCCAGGATGGGATTTCCCCAAGAGATAATTTCGGATAGGGGGACCCAATTTACAGCCGAAGTGACCCACCAGCTATGGAAGTTATGTGGCATTAAGCCAATTGTAAATTCTGCCTATCACCCGCAGTCCAATGGGTTGTGTGAGCGCTTTAACGGTACCTTGAAGCAGATGCTCAGGACATTTGGGGAGTCCCATAAAGACTGGGAGAGGTTTTTACCCCATCTGCTTTTTGCGTACCGAGAAGTGCCACAGGAATCTACCGGCTTCTCTCCGTTTGAGTTATTGTTTGGGAGAAGGGTGAGGGGACCCCTAGACTTAATTAGAGAACATTGGGAGGGGGGAGCAGTGCAGATGGAGTCCCCATTGTGCCATACGTGCTGGAGTTCCGGGACCGCTTGGAGGCTCTAACCCAAACCGTACGGGAGAACCTCCGGGCGGCTCAGCGGCGACAGCGCCGGTGGTACGATAGGGGAGCCAGAGACCGTAGCTTTCAGGTGGGACAGAAAGTTCTAATTTTGAAACCTGTCCGCACAGACAAGCTACAGGCCACCTGGCAGGGCCCATACCAAGTGGTAGAACAGAGATGTGACACCACTTATGTGATCGGCCCGTGCTCTGGGGTAGGGAAACGACGCATGCTCCATGTGAACATGCTCAAACCCTATCACCAGAGAATAGAGGAGGTAGCAGCCATCTGTGCCCCAGCCACTGAGGATTATGAGAATCTGCCCTTGCCAGACATGTTAGAAAAGGAAGATTCTGCAGAAAACGCTACAGGTGTGCAGCTGGGGGAGCGGCTAAGTCTCCAGGAGCGTGCCCAGGTACAGGAGTTGATTGCGGCAAAAGGTGCTACCTTCTCCAATTTACCAGGGTACACTCTGTTAGCTGCCCACCGAGTAGAGACCCCAGGACAGCTCCCTGTGAGACAGACTCCGTATCGTATCCCTGAAGCAGTAAGGGAGCACATGAGGAAAGAAATTGAGGAAATGTTGCAGTTAGGGGTTATCGAACATTCAGATAGCCCCTGGGCATCACCGGTAGTGCTAGTACCCAAGAAGGATGGCACCACGCGGTTTTGTGTAGACTACCGGAGGCTCAATGACAAAACAGTGTCTGACGCCTACCCGATGCCCCGTATAGACGAGCTGCTAGATAGGATGGCAAGAGGCCAGTATCTCACTACCATTGATCTGTGTAAGGGATACTGGCAGATTCCACTAGCCGAGGAGGCCATCCCCAAGTCAGCGTTTGTCACCCCGTTTGGCCTGTATCAATTTCGGGTCATGCCTTTCGGGATGAAAAACGCTCCGGCTACCTTTCAGAGGATGGTAGATCGGCTACTGGACGGGTTCCAAGAGTACGCCTGTGCGTACTTAGATGATATAGCCATTTATAGCCAGACCTGGGCAGATCATTTGAAACATATTAGTGTGGTCATTGACCGTATTGGAGAGGCAGGGCTGACACTAAAACCTAGCAAGTGTCACATAGGGATGGCAGAGGTGCAGTACCTGGGTCACAGGGTAGGATGCGGACAGCAGAGGCCCGAACCGGCCAAGATAGAGGCAGTAGCTAAGTGGCCTACCCCCAGGACAAAGACACAAGTATTGGCGTTCCTTGGTACCGCTGGTTACTACAGAAAATTTGTGCCCAATTACAGCGCCCTAGCCAAACCCCTGACGGACTTGACCAAGAAAAACTTGCCACGACAGGTCAACTGGGCCCCAGAGTGTGAACAGGCATTCCATGAACTAAAAACTGCATTAACTAAGGCTCCTGTGTTAACTGCCCCTGATCCAACTAAACGATTTCTTGTTTACACAGACGCTTCCATGTTTGGATTGGGGGCAGTACTGAGCCAAGTGGGAGCTGATGGCGGAGAACATCCCGTAGCTTACTTAAGCAGAAAATTACCACCAAGGGAAGTAGGCTACGCCGCCATCGAGAAGGAATGCCTGGCCGTGGTGTGGGCCCTCAAAAAGTTACAACCTTATTTGTATGGACAACCATTCTCCTTGCTCACAGATCACAACCCGTTGGTGTGGCTACACAGGGTGTCAGGAGACAATGCCCGGCTGTTGCGCTGGAGTTTGGCGCTGCAGCCGTTTGATTTCACGATCCATTATCGCCCTGGAAAACAGAATGGTAACGCCGATGGGTTGTCCAGACAGACAGAACTTGAGAAATGATCTGTGAGCACTCCCCTGGACATCCCCAAGCCAATCCGTTGGGATCAGACTGTGTATGCCGGCTTGGTTTTGGGGGAGCATTGTGGCAAACCTAGCCACTTGGGACTGCCTAAGATAGAATGGTTGTGCCTATTTTCTGTTGTGTACTGCGGGCCGGTATAGTGTGGCGTCTCCGGCTATGTTTAATTTATGCTGTACTGTGTATGTCTGTTCGAATCCTCCCCATTCGTTAGCATTGCTATTAAAACTGACTAAGTTGTATATTTTGAAGTTGAAAGGTAACGGTTTATGTCCTCGTAGTTTTCATTACTGTATGTTACAGCAGGGGCTGTTGGGAGGAGGACCTGGAAACAGTAGTCTCCCTCCAGTCCCCTCAACCAAAACCCCTGCTGCCCATCTTTGGAAACCCCTGTTGAGTGACCTGCTTTAAATATCAGTTATTTTTAATAAAGTGACAGTTGAGTGACCTGCTTTAAATATCAGTCTTTTTTGAATAAAGTGGCAGTTGACTCTCAGACTGTGTTTCGTCTGGTTCTTGGGAGGATTTGGGAATATTGCCTGCTTCCAGCTTTGTACTTGGTTATTGCATTCTACCAGCAGAGATCCTGGGATTATAAAATTGCAGCTCCGCAACAACCCTCATACACTGTATATATAAACAGAGAGAGAGACCCTCATACACTGTATATATAAACAGAGAGAGAGACCCTCATACACTGTATATATAAATAGAGAGAGAGACCCTCATACACTGTATATATATAGAGAGAGAGACCCTCATACACTGTATATCTAGAGAGACCCTCATACACTGTATATATAAATAGAGAGAGAGACCCTCATACACTGTATATATAAACAGAGAGAGACCCTCGTACACTGTATATATAAATAGAGAGAGACCCTCATACACTGTATATATAAACAGAGAGAGAGACCCCCATACACTGTATATATAAACAGAGAGAGACCCTCATACACTGTATATATAAACAGTGTATGAGGGTCTCTCTCTCTATTTATATATACAGTGTATGAGGGTCTCTCTCTCTGTTTATATATACAGTGTATGAGGGTCTCTCTCTATTTATATATACAGTGTATGAGGGTCTCTCTCTCTGTTTATATATACAGTGTATGAGGGTCTCTCTCTCTCTCTGTTTATATATACAGTGTATGAGGGTCTCTCTCTGTTTATATATACAGTGTATGAGGGTCTCTCTCTCTGTTTATATATACAGTGTATGAGGGTGTGACGAAGTGCCCTTCGCCACTTGTGCCTGGAGAGGACTGCTTGCCCGCCTCTTGCCCTGTGACTATGGCCCCTGGGATGTATTGCCCTTTAAAGACATGATTTGGGCATAATGGATTTGTGTTGTGCTGCCGCTGGCCCTTTAAGAACCATCTGGAGACATACTGTGGAGTTACTGGGTGGCCACCATTTCCTGTATCAGAAGCACATGGTGAGAACGATGGCGGCCATTTTAACTCACAGACACTGTTTGGACTTTTCAACACGGTGCCATCTCGCCAGTATTTGGTGCACAGAGACATCGTGCACTGGTTTTGGACTATACAGCAGGGGACACATTATACAGTGATTGTTTTTCATTTGGCCTGTATATGTTCTGCAGAATCTGCATTAAACTGTATTTTCCAAAGTACTGAACGGATCTGGGTGAATTTTGGATATGTGGTTCACCCAGATCCCCCGGTTCCAAGGATATACTTTTTATGGGGTTATTGCATGTTTTGGGGTCCCTGTGTGTTTTATGAAACTATTATTTCTGGCCAGCAGATAATTGAGCTTTGTGTATTGTAGAAACTCAATTATCTAGCCTGGCCCAGAGGAGGAGTTTTGTTTTGCATAAATTGTGAGTTCTGTGTGCCAGTAAATCAGTCTTGTTCCAGCATTAAGCCTTGGCTCATGTTTGGGGGATTGGAGAAATACACTCGGGGGATTGGAGAAATACACTCTGGGGATTGCTATAATCACTATACTCCCCAGGGTATGATCACTAAGTTCTGCTAAGAGCTTGTTCCTGTTCCTGCTCTCTGGGGAAAGAGAGGTTCACCCACTGGGAGCTGGATCCTGGCCTTGGGTCCAGGGTGGGTGGAGACAGCAGAGACCCTGGCGCAGTTGCATCGCTGGAAGTGGGGTCTGCAGTGCTGATAGTGTCGGTTGGAGTGCTTGGAGTCCTCAGCAAGCACTAGGAGCATCGATTGGCGGAGGTACTCAGTCGGAGTGCCAGCGGTCCATCACAGAGGGTCTCTCTCTGTTTATATATACAGTGTATGAGGGTCTCTCTCTGTTTATATATACAGTGTATGAGGGTCTCTCTATTGTCAGGGTATTTATATCGGCAGACATCTTGTGCTATGATAGAAATTAAAAGTGTATATTCTGAGTCACTCTGAACAGAGCAGACTCCATTTTGTTATTTTCAAGTTAACAAAAAGACACAAGATTTCTATCTGAAAAACTAACCACTTTGCCAGAGCTAAAGGAATGCATAGTATAAACAAACCAAGTGATAAGGAGAACGGGGGTTGGATAGACTGTCTAAAATGCTAATGGAATAGATCAATTCTAAACCCAGACATTTGTGACAGAGAAGATTAAATAATTAAATTTTACTGTCTATATATGTAAGGTACCATTGTACGGAAAAGGTTAAACTTAGTTCATGATCTGCCATATCAGAAATTATAGCAGGAATCGCGGACACTAAGTCTGGACAAAACTTAAAGAAACTGTTTGATCTGACAGCAAAAATGTAAGTTATGGCACTATAAAAATAGGCCAAAATGACGTCAAAATAGCCACCAAGAAAAGTTAACTCTTTCCTGGATAGGTATGTTTAGTGGGACAAGACTGCCCTCTATAGACCAAATACCTAAATTGCGATCTGGAAGATAACCACACCTCTAGTACTTCTATTGGGTTATCAACTGATGACGTACAGAGAGTCTGGCCCTTTAAAAGTTAGGACAAAGGGTAGAAAGGAGACAGAGACGAGAAATGCAGGGGTATGCGAAGGGTATGCAAAGAAAGCAAAGAAGTGAGCAGTCGGGAGCAATGACACTCTAGGACTCAGAATACCTACACACCTCCATGCAGAGAGACATCCAAATAAGTTCCTGAGACTACCAATCGGATGAAATATCTACTCAACTGGTAATTATACTGGTTTCATTTAATTAATTAAATTAATTAAAATGTATTAATAGCATTATATATGACTGGATAAAGCACGGTCAGATTTCCATATTAAGAAATCTTAGTTAACTAAAGAATATATAGTTATAAACATTCCATTCTGCAGGTGGAATTAAGAATAATTATATATTGATGTGATATTATCACGTGTTAGCATACCGCTGTTTTTATCCAGGTGTATTGATTTGCTCTAAATTAAGATAAGATATCTTTTAGGCGAATTAAAAGTCTGCTTATATAATCATGGTAGATTCTCTTATTGGATGGTTCCAGGAAATGACTAATGAACTGGTTTAAATGTTATTTTATTTAAAATTACATAAGAATAGATCCTAATTACTTAGGAGATCTAGCCAGCATTGAAAGGGTTATTCTAACTGTTAGCCAGGGTTTTATGGCCCTTCGCTGTGAAAAGCTTCTCTCTGTGAAAGATACCTCATAAATCGTGTAAGACTTGACAGAAAATGCTGTTTAGCCATTGAAACGTGTATAGCCATTCCTTTGTATTGCATACCATTTTATACTGGATATTCATTGATTATTGTCACGCATGTTACATATTATTATTATTATTAATTAATTTGTTATTATAAATAAATCTATTTTTATAATAAAATTGTGATATTATTTATATGAAATACATTCACTTAACACGATAACGATATTTGGGATCTGAGAATTGAATTAGTGGGCAATTCTCACTGTTTACTATTATTATCCCATTAATATCCCCACATATTGGAGGCACGCTGCTGAGATCGTTTAAGTTGAAATTATATTTCATATATAATAATATTGGTGTAATTCATGCAATTTAATCTTGATATAGAAAAGAGTTTTGTATTGAGATTAAATCAGTATATAGAAATATGGCTGAATCTAGAGCTTCATCTCAATCAGAGAATGGGAAGAAGTTAGCGGAAATACAAGGTTTTCCCTTAAGCATCTTATATCAGTATCTAAATATTAAAGTTGATTATCCAGAGTGGATACTCCAAATAAAAAAACAGGTTGATGATTCGATTCATGATAGATCGGCTGATTCACCTATGGTTAAATATCTTAGCCATATAGATGAAGAGTCTACAATGCGATCTGTTACCAACTCATGCCCGTTTTTCACATTGGGTTATTCTATTATGTTAAAAAAGCATAATGAGATAGAACGTAAATTGGACGAGTGTCAGAAAGACCTGGTGCTCGAACAAAGAAGGTTCAACACTTTATCTGATGAAAATAATCTCTTTCAGGCTCTAAACTCTGACCTTTTGAATAAACTGGAAAGAATGGACAAAATGGTGGATGATTATGATC